ACACCCGCCTGGTCATGTGCCATCCTCACAAATGCTGCTACTCTTGAGACCACTGATGATACTACTGTGCCAATCCATCTTGTTGGGGATCTCCCTCTGTCACTGTCCTACCACTTTACCCAGCATGATGTCCTTCTCCAAGGGCTGGTCCCTCCTGATAATATGTCCAAAGTATGAAAGACGAAGTCTGGCCATCTTGGCTTCTAAGGCAGCAGTCTGGCTGTACTTCTTCCAACACAGATTTGTTGTTAAGTGCTGTTGAGTTGCATCGGGAGAAGCGATCTACATATTACCTTTAATTTTCAAGATCATATATTTTACAGAGAATGAAGCTGAGACTCAGAAGGGTTAAGTACCTTGTCCTTTGGTCTCCCTCCTGCCAATCTATGGTCCATCTTACAGTCAGAGTTACCTTCCTAAAGTCAAAATTAATCATGTCACTGTCCGACTTAAAGCCCTCCACAGGCTTCCTTCCCACTCTCTTAAAGTCTAGACTCCTTCACTTGGTATAAGGTGCTCTTGAGGATCACTTGCTCACCACTCCTAACACCAACCTTGAGTTCCTGGACCGTGCCATGCTCTATCACCTCTTGTCTCTGGATTGGCATAAGCTCCCTTTATTCATTCAAGAAATATTTACTAAGTGCACACACAGTATGTGCAGGGGAAGTCCTGGTGTGGCACTGTAAGATAAACACGGGATTGCTAACCACAAGATTAATTAATGGTTTAAACCTACCAGCTACTCATTGGAAACCCTATACAGGGTAGATAAGAGCTGAAACCAACTAGGTGACATACAACCACCATAATCATGTGCAGGGAGTCCTGGAGTGGCGCTCTGGGATAAGTACTGGGCTGCTAACTACAAGGTTGGTGGTTCAAACCCACCAGCTGTTCCTTAGAAACCCTATACAGGGTCGCTATGAGTTGGAACTGACTCAGTAGCACATAGCAACAAACAACAATGTGCTTGGAGATATACCTGTTTCTGGGCACATGGTAGTGAATGAAATATAGCTCCTGTCCTCAGGTATTTAAGGTTTCTTGGAAGAAGCCGGTAATAAGCAAACAACTATAGATTGTGATAAGTGAAATGACTCAACTACTCACTCAAAGGTTGGCAGTTCGAATATACCCAGAGGCACTTTGTCAGTCTTTAAAACCTAACTAGCACAGTTCTACTTTGCACATATGGGGTTACCATGCATGGGAACTGATTTGGCAGCAACTGGTTTTGTTTTGTGTGGTATGTGTTTTTTAAGGTTGGGAAACGGGGAAAAGTCACAATGACTATTTGAGAGGGTTGATCTGGTAAGATTTCAGGAGGCAACTTGAAGATTAGGAAGCCAGTTATATAAAAAGAAGGCAGAAGGAGGTAAGTGAGTGGTTAAGTGTCACACCTATTATAATTAAATGTTGCAGTACACTGAATTACTTAATATGATCCTTCGAGCTATAGTCTTATGATGTTGTTGTTAAGCACCATTGAGTCAGTTCCTACTCATAGCGACCCTGTAAAGGGCTTCCAAGGAGTGTTTCGTGAGCTTGAACCACTGACCTTGAAGTTCAGACTGACCTTGCAGTCCCATGCATTAGCCCACAGTGCCACACCCACCAAATGACTGAAAAGAACAAAGCAAGTAAGAGTGCTTGTGGCCCACCAAGGGGGTTGGAGAGTTTGCTAATAATGTAAATAAGGTGCATGGAATCCCTCTGGGGTAGGGGCCATGCAAATAAGGTGTATGGAACACAAAGGAGGTGACTGGCCAGTTTTGCCATCACTTAGCTTAAAAGAGTGCCAATTAGAGCACAGTTAGGGGTAGGGAGGCTTTACCACTTGGAAGAAAAGTCATTTGGACTCAGGGTCCCTGTGGGGGGAACCTCCAAGACCTAGGAGCCTGAGAGCTGTAATACTGGAGATGATGAATGGAAGCAAGTAGCAACAGCAGAGGCAGCAGAACCAGAAGACTAGCCAGTGATAGCACAATGGACTTCCCAGTTTATGTTGTGAGAGAACTGAACCCCCTGGGCAGGAGGCCTAGTGGCACAGTAGGGTACCTCCAGACAGAGCTAATGAGCTTTATAACACTTGTTAGAGCAGGGCAGAGATTGGCAGGTCCTAAGAAGCTCTGGTAGTGTAGTGGTTACGAATCGGACTGCCAACCTCAAGGTCAGCAGTTTGAAACTACCAGCGGCTCCGCGGGAGAAAGATGAGGCTTTCTGCTCCTGTAAAGATTTACAGCCTCGGAAACCCTGTACAGGGTCACTATGAGTCGGAACTGACTCCATGATACTTAACAACAACAACAAAGAGGCCCAAGGCCAGAGAAAAGCCCAATTTATAGACACTGCTGTGATAAACCTCATAAAAGCCTTCTGCCATCAATTTCAAGTCATAGTGATCGTATGTAGGGTTTCCAAGGAAGTAAATCTTTACATGAGCAGAAAGCCTCCTATTTCTCCCATGGAGTGGCTGGTGGATTCGAACTTATGACCTGTGGTTAGCAGTTCAAACGTGTAACTCACTACGCCACCAGGGCTCCTTAATAAGCTTCATAATTATGAGTACTGCTTATGAGTTCTATGTGGCCATTGCAATGAATTATCAAACCCAGTAGAGACGTAGAGAGTGCCGTGGGAGGAAAGGCTGCTTTTAAAAACCGGTAATAAGAATAGAGAGTGAACCCTCCACACACAGAGTAGACAGGGATGGGCAATTTGGACATTGGCTACCCAAAATGTTGGGGCTACAAAGGCAAGCAGTGACTGGCTTACAAGTTTTCAAGATGGAGCCTAGATCCAGAGGGCGTGAAGGAAGGTAGAATCTCCACTGAGTAGTATCCAATCTGTCTAGGTGGGGCTGATGAAAGGAAATGCGGATAGGTCTCTTGGGATACAATAGGGAATAATTGTTATCAGGACTGCTTGTAAGGGTTAGAAATGTAAAGGTGGACGTTTTATGTAAATGTAAAGGAGAGGAGTGATTAACTTTTCAGTCTAGGAGCGGAGGTCCCTGGGACCTTCAATGGAGAAGAGCGGAGAGCAGGACCCTACAGAGAAGCAGTGATGCCTAAGATGGAGGCAGAGACAATGGCATGGAGAGATGAAGCAGCTGGGGGCTTTAGACACAGAGAGGGAGAGGGGCTGTGTGCAGGGGGTGGGGGGCAGGCTTGTAGTGTATACCCTTTGGTTGATGATGCATGGAGGGGATTGTAATCATGACAATGAAAGGATATATGATAGGATGAATGTAAAACTGATGTTCTCCCATGTAAACTATCACATAATTCACAATAAAATATTAAAAAAAAAAAATAGAGGGTGAAGATATGTCTGACCTATGCCTCACAGGAAAAAGCTTTGAGCTGTTAATGCTGATCACGATTCTTTTTCTGTATGCAATGTTAGAACAGGTCATACACTTCTACTAACTAATGTCTAAATCTGTATTTCCTATCGGAAAACTCCAAGATAGTGGAAATCATGCATATCTAGTTGAAGGCGGTATACAAAAGTACACTGAAGTTGGAGATCCCGAAGGAGGAAAAACATTTGCTTTTCTGTGCTTGGGCTATAACTTCTTGCTATTGTTAAGTGCTGATGAGTTGATTCTGACTCATAGCGACCCTATATAAGGTTTCTGAGGAGTGTCTGTTGAGCCTGAACTGCCGACCTTGGGTTCAAATCGACCTTGCAGTCTGGTGTATTAACCCGCAGTGCCACACCAGGACTCCTGGTGCTCAATAAGTAATAACTGAAGTAAACTTCCCAAGCTTCCACAGTTAGTGAGTGGAAGAGCCACAATTCAAACCTAGGTAGTCCGCACTCCAAACATATAGAACCCTTCCACTAGACATCACTGAGTTTTTACCTACTGTCAACACCTTGCTCATGTCTCATTTCTCCACCCCTGAAAAATCTAAATGGTTTCTCCATGGTCAGGATCCCTAATTCCAACCTATTCTATGTACTGTGTCAATAAAGTAAAACAACATCATTTTTCTTCCAAATGAAAAAATATAAAACTGGTCACCCACTGCCTGACAAGTTTCTCATTGTAGCATCACAGTATGTTACAATTTGGCACCTATCTTCCTCTCACCACTTTCTTCTATTTTATTCTGGTGTGGCAGTGCAGGACAAGCATCGGACTGAAAGGTCAGTTTGAACCGTAATGGCAAGCAACAACTACAATTTTATACTTTAGGAAACTTGAATATTTGACCATGAGACATCCACCCTGAGTTTTTCTGCTCTGTGTTTTCAGGTCCCCACCATTACTAGCTGAGTTGGTCACAATCTCAACCAACCGTTTAGACTCATATCAAATTCTGTTCTCATTGAGGCATTTATGTTTTCTCCACTGTGCTCTCTCCTTCTCTTGAAAGCCCTTAGCCAGTGTGTACTACTGATGGCAGTACACCTATTAGCCATTCTTTTAAACTTATCCAGACTCTTTTATTCAGTTGTGAGATTCTTGGAAAAGCCCAACGTCTCTGGATCCTCTGGGAATGTCAGAACAGTTTCAGGTATAGAGCAACCATTCAATAAGTGTCACCCCTGATCTCTGCCTGGTTCATGGGCCTACAAACTTAAACAGGTTTCTTAGATCAGGGTTCCAGTGACATCAAACAGCAGCTCACTATTTCTGTTTACGTCCCAGATTATCTCTATTAACTTCCAGAGCAAGCTCCAATTTCATAAATTTCATTTTAATCCACTCTAACATTCACAACTCCTTTAAGCGTGAAACAGCATTGCTAGGATGTGAGGGAGGATGACGGGGCTGTCTCCTGAACAGAAATCTGAGGTCAAAATGAGAGAAAAGCCACGTTGACTACAAAATAAGTCGTTCTCTTAGTAGTTGAATGCAGGGCCTGTAATAGCCTCGGAGAATTGACATAGGGTCTAAACCGAGATGCCACACGTGAGGAATTAAAGAGATACGGTTGTCACAGCGTTTGTACTCAGGGTCTGACCTCATCCTAGCAACCTACCTTCCTCCCCTGCAGCTCCAGAACTGGTAGCCATGGCTACTAACGGGCGAGCTCCGCGGAAACCCAAGAGTGGACTGCAGTAGACAGTCTGTCTGATAGGCAACAAAATCCACACTCTGGAACAGCCAAACAGGAAGAACACCCAACTGTTGGAGACTCCTCCGGAAGCGCCGTTCCAGTGGAGTCACGTGACGAGCGCTGGGCGGGGTCATACAAGTTTGTTTTCCTTCCCCAGTTGCAAGCACGTGGTGTCTGTTGGGTTGCAGCTCCCCTCCCCCCACCTCTTCTTCCCCCGCCCTAAGTGTTTTTTTAGTGTTTACTTCGCAGGGATTTGTTTGTGTTTCTCCAGGAAAGTCAGGTCCTGTCCACCTTGGCACTATTCTCCACCCAACAGTACTCGTTTTTTGTTTTGTTTTGTAAAGAGAAGAATGGTTTGCTTATTTCCCGGACAGTAGAAGGTGTCTGCATTTGGTTAACCTGCAGCAGCTTTTACCAACCCTGGATACCTTGATGATTTAGACTTTTCACCTTTCTTGTCATTCTGGCGATGTGACTCTGTGATCACCTTGACTGCCCGGGAGCACAACCCTCAGGGAAAAAAAGTGTTCTTTAACTGTATTTCATTTCCGGACTCAGACAAGGCAAATCTCTTGCTAAATGTTTACAAGGACACTAACCAGCAGCAATGGGTTCAAACATTACAACTGTCTGGATGGTGCACGACCGTGCAAATTTTCGTTCAGTTGTGCAGAGGGTCGCTATGAGTCGAAGCCGACTCAATGGCACCTAACAACAGCCAGCAGCTGTCAGGCTCTGGATTTGCCTATCAAAATAAACAAATGATAACTTGATCAAGAAATCAACGACCCCCACGTTTCCTCTCTGGTTAAAATCATAGTAAAAGAAGATAAAGCTATGTTACCTTTGAGCAGAAATCGTCCAGCCTGTGTGTGTGTGTGTGTGTGTGTGTACGATTGGCGACCTTACAATCTTAATGGGTTTGAAAGACACAAAGATAAAACTATTAAAACTAGACAAAACTGTACATTTAAAATTTTTTATTTTCATGCTACTATCTTCTGGGTTCTCACTACATTTCAGTTTTACCCTATCGCCTCCTATATAATTTCTGAAATTATAAACTGAACAAAAATAAGTAGCACATATTCGGTTAAATAACCAGAGATAGCCGAGTTGTTTATTAGGACAGATGTACACTTGTACACTTCCTTCAGCTCAACCCGAAGGTTCATTGCTCAATCTTTCACTACTACAGTATCTTTGGGAGTTTCCCTTTCCTTGGGCTCAGTCGCCCTACTCCCTGCCTTTTCAATTCTTTCCTGTCCTCCTTCTGGGAACCCTTTTCCACCCTCGCTTCAGTTTTCTCTAAAACACCCACTGTGGGGCGGCACCTGGCTGGCCGCCCCTCAGCCCTGACTGCCCCGCCTCCCAGCCCCCTGCTGGCTCGGGCCGCGCAGACGCACTAGGCTGACGGCCGAAAGGCCGAGGGCAACCAAAGCAGGCTCAGCCTCCACCTCTTCTAGCTGCTCCTCCAAGGGGCTGGTCAGCGGCGGCTCGGACCGCGCCGGGCAGAGGCCCCGCGGACCGCGCGTCGCCATGGGCTCGAGCTGGAGCAGCGAAGAGGAGCGGCAGCCGCTGCTGGGGCCAGGACTCGGGCCTAGGCCCGGGGCTGCCTGGAGAAGTCGCGAGGCGGTGGCGGCGGCTGCGGTGCTGCCGGCGGCGGCTGCGGTGGCCCCGGGTCCCGGTCGTGTGTACGGACGCCGCTGGCTGGTACTGCTGCTCTTCTCTCTGCTAGCTTTCGCGCAGGGCCTGGTCTGGAATACCTGGGGCCCCATTCAGAACTCAGCTCGCCAGGCCTACGGCTTCTCCAGCTGGGACATCGCCTTGCTGGTGCTGTGGGGTCCCATTGGCTTCTTGCCCTGCTTCGCGTTTATGTGGCTCATGGACAAGAAAGGTAAGAGGATCGCGGACCACCGGCGGGCGCTTTCCCTCCTGGAGGAGCCCGGAGCTGCCTGGGTTCCAGGCCAGCCAGCCTCTTTCTGTTTGCCTTTACGAGTTGTGTGAAGTGACGGAGTGTTGCTGGTATCCCATTCCTGACATGCACCCTTCGTCCATACAGCCACAAACATGGGAAGATTCTTTGTAAATTTTTTTTTTTTTTTTTAAATCAAGGCTGCCCATTGTGTAGTACCAAGGAATAAGCTATCTCTAAATGTTGACGTTCTGTCAGTGTGGACATCACAACATCCCCACACACGTGTATGTATTATTTTTACACCTGACAAAAATGACTGATGCTTTGACATCAAAGGGATTTGGGAATGTTGAGGGTGAAAGGTCAGAAAATAGATTGATGATGCCTAGATGTAAGGAAGTAATGAGTTGGCTTTGTCTAATAGGTGACTCTAGCCCAGGAAGAGCTATTGGGAAACTGATCATCTGATGTTTTGGTTTCGTTGACGATGGTGCATGGCAGCATTTAAAGTGTGTGTATATGAGACTGCAAAGCCATTTGAACTGCAAGGTTGGCGGTTCAAGCTCACCAGTCGCTCTTCGGAAACCCTATACAGGGTCGCTATGGGTCGGAATCGACTCGACGGCACTTAACAACAACAACACATTTATGAAATTTATGACTGGAATAAAGCTAGCTGATGAATTAAGACTCTCATAGAGAGATGTTCTGGGCAGATGGTAGAAATATTTGCTAGTGAAGGAGAAAAAATAAAGTCATATGCGTGAATGATAAGGCATTGAGTTTGGACTACGTAAGGAGTTCTGGTGTGAGATCAGCACTGGACTGCCAACCACAAGATGGCGGTTCAAGCCCACCAGCCACTCCTTGGAAACCCCATACAAGGTTGCTGAGAGTCAGAAGTGACTCAATGGCACCTAACAACGTAAGTATCAATAAATTCTTGGTTGTGATGCCTGCCTTCAAGAGGCTGTTGTCGATTTTAGATTTGTTAGTTGGATAATGGTTGGGAACTACTTTATTTTTTTATTAGTCTAACCTTTTTAGTTAGATTCAGAAAGTATAAGTAGGTGCAGAATTGCAATTGCTTGATACGTTCATAACAAAAAAACCCCCACTCATACCAACTCTATACTACTGCCTCATAGAATTTCCAAGGCTGTAAACCTTTCAGTATTATTATAATTTTCCCTTGGTCTTTGGAACGTACCCATTTTGATAAGCAACGAGTGGGTTTATAAAGATATATTTTTTTAAGTGTTGTTGGTGCAAGTTTACACAGCAAGGCAGTTTCCTGTTTGACAGTTTCCACACAGATGTCCAGTGACATCAGCCACATTCATTGCACTGTATCAACAACATTCTCTTTAACTGTGTTCTCTTTGCTCCATTTCCAGTACTCATTTCCCTACCCTCGTATCTTGTCATCTCTATTTTCTATAATTGTTGACTTTTTGGTCTCGTGCATATAATTTTTAAGTCGAGTTCTGATCTTACAGTGGTAAGATTACTCTGTTATATATTTTGTTAAAAGGTGATCTCCAGGAATATAGGCTCAGTTCTATGTTTGAAGAGTGTCTCAGGGCGATAGTCTCTCAGAGAATAAAACTGTATTTGTAAATCTTTACGGAAGCAGATTGTCATATCTCTCTTCTGCAGAGTGACTGGCAGGTTTCAACAGCTTATCTTTAAGTTAACAGGTGAGTACTTAACAACGGTGACTTGAGGACTCCTTGGCTGATTCATTATGCTCAAATATTTGTTATTGTTGATTCTGAGTTCATTAATGATCAGCAATATGATGGAGTTGCTAAAAAAGGAAGGACGGTGTCTTGGGACCGGTTTTCTAGAGAAGCAAAACCAGTGAAACATATATACGTTAATACAATGGACAGCAAAGTCAGTTTGAACTGCAAGGTCGGTAGGTCAAACTCACCAGCCACTCCTCAGAAACCCTATACAAGGTTACTATGGGTTGGAACCAATTCAATGGCACTTAAAAACAATAACAACATAGAGAGGAAGTGTATTATTGAGAAAATGGTTTACAATTTTAGAGTCCCAGGTCCCCAGGGGAAGAGAGAGTCCCTCCCACACGTCCAGTATATTGGGAGCAGGCCACACCCTCAAGGAAGCATCCTTTCAATTGATTGGCTACTCATAGCTGCTCATCAAAAGAGTTAACTATGCTGGCATTAGATTTCATCACCATAGGAGTAAGCACATCTCAACTGCTAACCTTCTGGAAATCCTGGCCTAGTCAAGCTGACACAGAACTCTAACTATTCCATACAGAGTTAGGGAAAGAAGCATAGTACCCAAAACATAAAAGAAAAGAGTTTTGTATGCTGTACACTGTTCTGATCATTAATTTTTAGAAGGCCGTTGACAAACTGGAGTACTTTTAAAGTTATGTAACAAGGGTTATAAACGGTGTACAAATCATGATGTATAAGATGAAGGAAAATGGGTGTGTCACATGTCCTAAAGAAACTTGAGACAGAATGTAAACTATGTGTACAATAAGCAAAAGAAGAACTAGACTTATTGCATTGTAGTACTAGAAGGAAGACCTAAACTGAAATAAAGTTGCAAACAGATGTAACTTAAAGCTATACAAGGAAATACTTTGTAACAATGAAAGGTACCTAGTCCCAGGAAGGTGTGTTTTGACAGTCATAGAACTTCCAGGTAAAGCAAGTATTTGTTCAAAGAATGTGTACTAGATAAACACAGTTCTACTCTGATACACCACCACTCGTCTGTCAGTTTGTCGTACTGAGGTGGCTTGGGAGTTGCTGTGATTCTGAAAGCTATGCAACTGGTATTTTAAATAACAGTAGGGTCACCCGTGGTGGACAGGTTACAGATGAACTTCCAGAGAAGGTTCAAGAGTTGGACAGAAAATTTCAAAGATCAGCTCGAGAAGATAAAGTCAAATATTACAACAAAATGTGCAAAGATCTTGAATCAGAAAACCAAAAAGGAAGAACACCAGCATTTCTCAAGCTGGGGGAACTGAAGAAAAAATTCAAGCCTCGACTTTCATTATTGAAAGATTCACTGGGCAGATTATTGAATGATGCAGAAAGCATCAAAAGAAAGATGGAAAGAATACACAGTCATTGTACCAAAAGGAAATGGTTAATGCTCAACCATTTCAAGAGGTAGCATATGATCAACAGCCAATGATACTGAAGGAGGAAGTCCAATGTGCATTGAAGGAATTGGCAAAGAACAAGGCACCAGGAATTAATAGAATAAAAATTGAAATCTTTCAAGAAAGTGAGGCGGCACAGAAGGCACTCACTCATCTCTGCCAAGAAATGTGGAAGACAACTATCTGGCCTCCTGATTGGAAGAGATCCATATTTGTGCCCATTCTAAAGAGAGGTGACCCAACGGAATGTGGAAATCATCAGACAATCTCTTTGACATCCCATGCGAGTAAAGTTTTGCTAAAAGTAATTCAGAAACGGCTATAATCATACATAGACAGAGAACTTCCAGGGGTTCAAGCCGGATTCAGAAGAGGCCGTGGAACGAGGGATATCATGGCTGATGTCGGATGGATCTTGGCTGAAAGCAGAAAATATAAGAAAGATGTTTACCTGTCCTTTATAGACTACGCAAAGGCTTTCGATTGTGTGGATCATGACAAGCTATGGACAACATTGCAAAGTATGAGTATTCTTGAACACTCAATTGTGCTCATGAGGAATCTGTACCTGGACCAAGAAGCAGTTGTTTGAACAGAACATGGGAACGTTGAATGTTTTAAAATTTAAAAAGGTGTGCGACAAGGTTGTATTCTTTCAACATACTTATTCAACCTGTATGCTAAGCAAATAATCCGAGAAGCTGGGTTCTATGAAGAAAAACATGGCATCTGGAGTGGAGGAAGACTCATTAACAACCTGCAGTATGCAGATGATAGAACCTTGCTTGCTGAAAGTGAAGAGGACTTAAAACATTTACTGATGAAGATCAAAGAGCACAGCCTTTAGTACGGATTACATCTCAATGTACAGAAAACAAAAATCCTCACCACTGGACCAATGAACAACATTCTTATTAATGGAGAAAAGATTGAAGTTGTCAAGGACTTTATTCTTCTTAGATCCACTATCAACACTCAAGGAAGCAGCAGTCAAGAAATCAAATGACGTATCGCATTAGGCAAATCTGCTGCACAAAACCTTTCTAAAGTGTTGAAAAGCAAAGATGTCATTTGAGGACTAAGGTGCGCCTGACCCAAGCCATGGTATTTTCAGTAACCTCATATGCATGCTAAAGTTGGATAGTGAATAAGGAAGACTGTAGAAAAATTGATGTTTTTGAGTTATGGTGTTGGAGGTTTTGCCATGGGCTGCCAAAAGAACCAATAGATCTGTTTTGGAAGCAGTGTAGCCAGAGTGCTCCTTGGAGACCAAGATGGACAAACTTCATCTCTCATTCTTTGGACATATTATCAGGAGAGACCAGTTGCTAGAGACGGATATCATGTTTAGTAAGGTGGAGGGTCAGAGAAAAAGAGGAAGACCCCCAACGAGATGGATTAGCCAAGTAGCAGCATTGATGGGCTCAAGTGTGGCTACAGTAGTGAGGTTGGCCCAGGATCAGGCAGTGTTTCGTTTTGCTGTGCATGAGGTTGCTATAGTTCTGTACTGACTCGATGGCACCTAACACCAACCCTGATACATGTGGGGCCCCCATGAGTCCAGTGGTGGTGAAATGCTAGATGCTAAGGGCTTCTTGTACCAAGTCAAGGCTTTGTTTGCTTGGGTTTCTGTTTGGTTATTTGCTTATTCAAAATGTTTTATTGTGAATTATGTGATAGTTTACATGGGAGAACGTTAGTTTTACATTCATCCTATCATATATCATTTCATTGCCATGATTACAATCCCCTCCATGCATCATCAGCCAAACAAAGGGTATACCCTGCAAGCTTGGCCCCCGGTCAGCAGCACACAGTC